TCAACTGCTGATTATTGCCCCCAAATTAATAAAACAAGGAGTTCTGACGAATTATTAAAAAAAATAATGGTCAAAAATATAAAACCATAATGCAGTGATTTCACTTTGCTTCAGCTGGTTTTAACTTCTTCAGTTTTTATGGATCTGGCAGCACCGCTCCTTTAGGGGGAATTATTCAAGATGCCTTGCGCTTAACTGCATAAACATTTCATCAAAATTCAGCAAGCCATTAGAAACATGAAAAATGTCTATTGATATTTAGACAAAACTTGGGTTTAAATATCTACAGCGTACGGTCAAACAGTATTTCCATAAATCCTACAGTATTTTACATAAAATCATTCCACATTAAACCGCAGGCATTAATGTGCTGCTCCACCACTCCTCCACTATTCTTACCATTTGAAGTATTAGTAATGTCCAGCAGACGAGGTCAGGGCTGTGTACAGACCAATCTGAGAAAACTATTGTGAGGTTCAACCTCTAAAAAAAGCCAAATCAACTCTTATATATTATTTTACAGCAGAGCATTATGATTTCCCTTCACTGGAACTATGAGGCCCACACCAGGATAAACCCAGATCAAAGAATGTGAAGTAGGTGAGGTTTTCTACCAAAGATCTCCAATTTCCTTCCAACTAAGTATCTTAAATGTCTAGATATTAAATATAATTTCCCCTTTTGTAAATCTTCCCTGTGAGATCAGAATTGATCATTGGCTGTTTTTGTGACTGCTGCCAAGAAGCTAATCTTCAGTCTGATGTGGAATTAAAACTGAGAGAATAAAACCCACAAAATGAAATCACAGTTGCTTTAAAAACACTTTTAATAGTGACACTTAGATAAGACACCTGAACAAAACAGGTGCACAATAAGACAATATAAATATACTTCTTCAAATAGATTTTTGTCCTTTTGAACTGCACGGATACAAACTGGATCGGACGGCTAAAACAAACGTCAGGTTGCTGCACACTGGCCTACACTGACACGCAAAACAGACGGTAGCCAGCGAATTGGCAGCAGTGATGAGACACTTAGTCCATTCACAGCTGATCAGATTAAAGACAGTGATCAGATAAAAAAACGAAAAACAGATGTTCTCCCACGATGATCCTGTTAAAAAAGGTCCAGACCTTTTCAGTTCATAAGCATGTTTCTAAGACTTTGATCGACGTTAGATATGAAGTACACAGGCAGTACGACCATACCACTACAGCTCAATATAATTCTTCACAACAGTAAATATCACAGTGAACAGAGATGACAGCAGAACTGCAGCTACAGCAACATCTAATTGTGTTACTGAAAAACGACTACCCACTTTTACTTTCAATTCCAACACCTTAAAAGAGCTTCTTGTGAAACTGACACCTTGTGTTTTTGTGAACACCTGCGTGGATTCTGTTTCTCTCTTAATACCTGTAGAAATTACTTGTTGTTTTTTTGCAGCTTTTACAACCTGAGACCATCAGTCCTTATTTAGCAGTGGGAACATTGTGAGCTACATGAAGTTCAGATGGAGAAACTACAGCAGTACTGCAACATTTCATTAGCTTGGACCTGTAAGAATTTATCTGCAGATCTAGACACTGATTATCAAAAACATTCAGATAAGTAGTTTTTTGACCTGAAGGCTAAACCCTACTGCCAGACAAAAACTTCATATCAAACATAATAATTGTGCAAAAATCCTTGATTTGGTCAATGTCAAAGTTTTTGAAAGTTAAATATTATATTATAATATAACAGCTGGAAACTACAACATGGTTAAGGTTAAGGAAAGGTTGTGTTAAATACACAATAGGTGTGGTTTAATGAGAATCCTAAGTACAATGTGGGTCACGTTTTTCAAGGTTTGGCATCAGGTACTGTAACAGCAAAGTCCAACTGGTAGAGCAACATGAGGAGTCAGACAATCAGACGAGAGACAATAGAAACAAACGTCCAGGTTGGCAAAAAGCGCTGTAACAGCTAATGGCAAAATCATGACTCAAATCAAACTGTTCTTTGTAACATCTTAAGTACTGTAGTAAAGCCAATTTCAACAATCGTGCGAATTTGGATTTCCTGTGCAATTTCGATCCTAATTAAAATATCTCTTGTTTTATTTTTGGAGATGTCACTGTTTTGTCAGATTTTAGATTTGAACATGAACTTCTTTTACATCAAACAAACAGATATACACGTTTTACACCCCTAGAAAAAGACGATTAACTCTTTTCCCTTTGCCAGTTTACCAGTTGTCATATTTATGCATCATGCTCGACATTTACTCATTGATGTCGGTTTCCATCACTATCGAATGGAGCATTAAAGAATTTCTCGAGAAAGAATCCTAATGACCTCCTGACTTCCAGCACCTGCCCATGTTTAAAATGATTTGAACTACCTTTCAATGGCCTTTCCTCTAGCAGCGCCCTAAGACAATGACAAGGTACAGTATGTTGTTCATCCGTTGGATCAAGTCCTCCTCAAGTGTTTTCTGATCTGCTACTGGTTTTCTTAAGGTTTGATTGAATTGAGTCAATTAAACTGTAATTTCTGTAAAAGGTTAGAGAACGATTGTGATCACAGATAGACAAAAGTATGACTGAACTGTCGGTCAGCATTTGTTTCAAACAGTCACGGATGATAACAGCTTTGTTGACCTAACGATTCACAACAAACTCAAGCATTGAGGTGCTGTAATAATGTCACGCTACTTCTGCTTTAGCTTATCAGAAACAACAGTCACTATTTGTACAAATAAAATGGGTTGCTTGTTAAGAAAAGGTCAGGTTGTTTTAGCACTGAGGAAAATGAAAGTAGAAAACCCAGCTTTGATAAAAGCAGTTAGATAGAACCTTACATTTCCAAGCTTTCAGTCCAATAAAAATAAATCTCTTTTGTGGAATTGGCCGCTGTTGGTGTCAGGAATATGACAAAAAAAGGCAGGTTTGCTCGGACTCTAGCGTTTTAGAGCTGCCACAACATTTTAAGTCTTGAACAATAAGCTACAATGACTGAAGGAAAACAAAATAGGCGTTCACTGAGCTCTACTGTAAAAAGTGACATCAATCAGAGTATGGCTGCACATAAAGGAAGGCGGGGCTTTCTGTCCTGCAGGTGAGAGTGGGAGGACGAGGTTTGTCTCACAACCTTCCAGTGTCTGTCAGTTGCCTCGCCTCACCTCGACTTACTTTTAGTCGTACATTCAGACTCATGTACGTTTCAACACATATGGACATCTGGGCGATGAGCATGTGACAGGGTGAGAGTGTGTGTCACTACCTGAGCGATCCTCCTCAACTGATCAGGTCTTAAGTCATGACGATTAACCTCTACTGCACATGATGCAACTACACACAGAGCTTCACCTTGTTTAGTCCTAAAAAATGGACTCAGATTTACAACAGAACCCATCAACAACAAGTATTACTAGTTAACATTAATGACTTGTCGTGTCATAAACAGCGTGATTAGTTTGGCAGTTCTGTTTTCTGTTGATTATCTTAATCTTTTTCAATTATATTTGTTGACTGTGGTTGTAATATCAGCTCTTCTGGTATATTTGAACTAGAGTCAAATTCTGTTGAGAAAATGCATCAACATCATGGCTTGTATATTAGATTGATTTGTTGTTGATAATGGCATAGTTATTTTGTCCAGTCTGTCTATTTTCTCCAGACATGCTATCAAGTTTTGTTTTGGCAAAATACTTTTCTAACAGACAGTAAAAAAAAATGTAGCTAAAAGTTGTAAGCATGTGCTGTCCCTGTTGTTAAAAATACAGCATTTGTGTTATTTTACAGTGTTTGTTGGCTTTATAGTTTTTATCGGTTTCAGTAGCCAGTAATTTTTTTTCACTTATCACGTATTTCTCAATCTTAACTTAAAAATCTGTTATATCTGTTGAATATTGGCTGTTTTTAATTTCAGTTTTAGCATTCATCCAATATGGCTGACTGAGGTGGTGCTCAGTGGAGAATATGCTTCCACAACAAAGCATGCAAGCTAACTTTAGCATTAGCTGTTCTGTTGTTGATGAATCGCAAAGCTAATTTGTCCAGCAGCAGTCTATTTCAGTTATATTAGTACCAAATCATATTTGTTGTCTGTGGTTTCAGCCTTAGTCTCTGTTTTAGTTTGAAATGAAAATTGTTTAGTGAAGTGGAGGATGTCATTAACTGTGACAGAAGGTCCTGATCTGTAATGGAGAGGGTGACAATCAAGTAGTAACAAGGTGTGTTAAGAGTGTGTTTGTGTGTATTTAGTCATCCTCCTCATCGCTGTCTCGCATGCTGATGCCCTGCAGGCCATCGCCCGCCTTGACGGCCGCTGTAGCTTCCTCCACTGTCAGTCGGTTGTAGATCGTCTCATAGCTCTTGCAGTTCAGTGTGCCGTCCAGGACGCCCTGCAGCCTGAAGTCACGGTAGGTCTTCTGTTGAGGGGGTGGTGGAGGGGGGAGAGAGGTTAAAGCAGACAGTAAGGAAACAGTGAGCATCTTAGGAATGCAGCGAGCCCGAGGAGGTGGATATTACTCGCCGTTCTGAAGGACAAAAGTGGGAAGATTGAAGGACACATTGAGTCTTTTATGTGTTGGGCTGTAAAGGCAGACTGAGGCGTCAGAGGTTTTTACCTTCAGTAAGAAGCCATTATCATTCCATGTCATGTTGCTTTCACACTAATCTCACGCATCTCTGTACATTAGAAAACTATGAAAAGACAAGAGCGATTGCCACGCACAGTTTGAGCAGTTTTCTCTTTCATAACCTCTGCCTCTTAACACCACTGCTGCTGCTTTCAAGGACACTACAGCAGGGTTTGATTTGTCTGTATTTTTCCTTCTTTCCCTTCAGTATTCCTCAGACAGTTTTTTCATGAATAGATTCAGCTAAATATATTGTCACTAATCAGTTCAGCCAGTCTCAGAATCATTCCCTGCCACTCAGCAAAGGGGACTTTGGATAAAGCTAAGAGAAACCTGTCATTATGAATGCATATACAGTACATCTCAACACTCACAACTTTTTTGGTTTCTTATATAGATTTTTATACCTATAGTCTATTTTTTACCTTCACAATCTTGATGAGGGTTTTCAACTGGTATGTGTGGAGCTGCAGGTCCAGTCTGTCAGTCAGCCAAACACACACAGCCTTCATGGAGCCGGTGTACCATTGCTGGACGAAGCAAAAACAGAAAGAAAAAAATGAATGTAGACAAACTTATTTGGAAGGGATAACAAAATTATTCCAAGTCAGTTGTAAATATTCATCCCAATTTACTGACCAACTTCCTATTTCATTACAGTGTTTATGGTCAAATGTGCAATAATAGTTCACCAACATTTCACTTTCATTTTGACCTCAAGATAAAGCGGTTTAGATAATTCGAAGTTTCCCACCTTTTTCATCATTGAGTACAATAAAATAAATAGATAGATAGACGATAGCATGACAGCTGCTCTGGTTGTCATTTGGCTGCCGTTTGCTTCTGGAATGCCTTACTCCAGTAATGTCGACAAAACTAAAACATCAAGGTCAAAGAATGTGCACCATCAAAATGGCAAACCTCAAAAATGGTGAAAAATATACTTATTCAAAGAAACCAATTTACTGGAAAACATCTGAATGTTGAGCAGCAGGGGACGAATACATGGCTCTGCTTTGAACTTCAAAGCAGAAAAAAAGAAATCAGGTTCCATCATGTAATTTTCATTAAACTCTTCCTTCACGCCCTCAGCCACCAGGCCGCAGCTGCTGCAGGGAAATCAAATGCACCTTTTCTCACATGAACAGTGATCCTCACTTAAAGCAGCATTCAATACGCCGCTGGTAAAATGCACACAGCGGGTGGCTTTATTCAGCTACCAGTCAAACAAGAATGCTCGGGGGCATCGCATTGACACAGTAATGACCCGTAATATTCAGATCTGCTTCGGGAGCTGCTGATCGACTTAATTTCACTCTGACAAGGACTGTAATTACCTTCCAATTTAATAGAGAAAAACAGTCCAGAGGTTATTTCATGTACTTGACAAAAGCCAAAACACATCTGCAATCTTTCAAGGGTCAGACAAATATTTGATTCCATCTTTTGTAAGAAACATCTATGACCTCCTCACTGTCTCCATCAAATTAATAAAGCAGTTTTCCACTCAGTCAAAGTAATTAAGTGTCAGCTAAACATACAAAATTAAAAAGTTTACCCACAAGTCCTGATTTAGTTATTTGTTGTTTAAAGTGAATAAAAACAGGATGTTTGTTACCGGAGAAAAGGAAATCATCAGTCGGTCCAAAAACCCTAACTGGAGAATCAGTTGTACGTTTTCATAAATGTTGTCATGAACCCGCTGTTGTTGCTGTTTTGCACGAAAACCATCAAACTTGCGGCACAACAGTCTTGTTATGACTCCAGGATGAATCCACAAATTCAAGTCACTTCTAAAACAACCTGCTTACATCTGACCATCTTTCCTGGATCTTAACTGAAGGGATTTTGTTGCCTAGAGTCCAGACGAGACTGAGGATGTGAATTCTAATCTCTAGTGCGACAGCTTTGTACATGCTCCTCCATCAACTCAGCCACATTTTGCGACTCCGATGCTGCTATTCAATTTAGTGTTTCATTCATGAAAAAAAAAAGTTGCATTAAACATAATCCAACTTTCATTACATGACACTAGAGTAATATATAGTATGAAATGGAACTTTTAAGAAACAGGGTCCCTGATAAAATAGTAATAAAAAGAGAAGAAATAAAACTTCAGAAATGAACATTAGTGCATTTAAATAATGTGATTTAGTTCAAGATTATAATTGTTGCTTGCTCACAGTTTTAATGTTTTTTATTTGCTTATGTGCAGTGTGTTGTGCATCAGATATGTGAAGTGTGGATAAATCAGTGGAACAGTTCCAGCCATTCCACCCGAACAATTGACTTCCTCCTCCTCTCATCATTCCAAATGAAATATATCAATGTTGGGATTGAGTTCTATGCCAATCAGCTCGCCTCACAACCGCTTCGAGCTCTGGGTTAACAGACGCTTGAGGATGTTAAAATGAATGGCTGATATTCTCTGCTCCTGAGATGATTTCTGCTGATTTCCTTCTTCCTAACCCTCCTCCTCCTCTGTGGAACACTTATATGGGTCTCTGGAAGATGAGTTTCCTCAAAGCGACTAATCAGCTGCCTGACGGCTACCTCGCGAGCTGTGCTAACTGTTGTGTAAATTGAGTACGATGGCGCTCCTTAATTGAGCCGATTAGAGGACGAGAGTGAAAACAGATGGAGGGAATATGTTGGAAGGAGGTTAGAGGGTGGTCTGCACAGCGTTGTGGGCTTTAGTCCTGTCAGAAAAAATATCTGATGGTAATGAAATCATTCAAACTTGACAAATGTCCTGGTTTTGGCACGGAGATATTAATTTCTTTAAAATTAAAAATTCACTGAATGAATGCAGGAGGGATGAAATTATGCTTATTCTTGTTTTACAATTTGTGATCTTGCTTTTAAAGAAATGTTTTCAAATGAGACCCACATTGGTTTCTTTATAACAACATGCAACATTCATCTGCAGCTGCTTCATCAAGGTGATTTGGCTCCTAATGTGTGTGAGTGCGTGAATGTATCACACTTCTCATCCACAGAGACGCACAAAGACGTTCCCAGGGGAGCACTTGTACACAAATAGACAGACAGGCGTATGTGAGCATGCACACGCAGAGAAAGAAAATCATGAACATGTTCACAGCTGCATGCTGACATCCCACGTCCTCGTCCTGTTTCTCGTTCTATCACCTGCCGTATCAGCCTGTTTCTTCTTCTTTAAAACGTCGGTGTCGACAAACCTTGTGCTTAAAAAAAAGGCGTCGTAAATGAATTTGACTTTGACTTGCTCAGACGCACGGAAACAAGATGATTGCGTACCCATAATGCTGCTGGCAGGAGGCCTGATGCTGCTGCATGAACTCAGGATTTGTTTTTTCATTGTTGCACACAAACTGTATGCGTGTGTCCAGGTGTGTTTGTGTGTGTGTGTGTGTGTGTGTGTGTGTCTGATACAAGGGCTGAGCAGAGACACTTCAAAGCCCCACCATCACCTCCCCCCGGCGCATGACTGGGCGCTTCTGAGCTCCATTAGATTCATTCTCCTCAAACACCCCTCTTCAAACACACACACATAAATCAGCGCGACACAGCTCGAGTCTCAGCCACATCACCCCAAACCCTCAGAGGAGGCGGCAGGTGGCAGAAATCCATCGCCCTGCTTCGTGCTACTAATGTGTACGAAGGTCTGAGCCGCCATGTCCGCTGCATTGACTCGCACCAGTGAGCTGAGGCGTGTTTGACAACACTGCACTAAAATATTCTTTCAAATCTGAATCCTTGAGGGGGGTGGTCAGTGAAGCAAACGGACAGCGTGGGGTGGATGGATTGATAGATGGATGAAAAGGTGTGTTTTCAGCTCCCACAGAACGAGCCGGCAGCGCTCATGTTTCCTAAGTGATTAACAGGTCAACAGAAGCAGTCGGTGTTTTTGGCCTCGAAATGACCTGCTGCTGCTCTGAAACTGGAGAATCGAACTTCACACCAACAGTATAAACACCTGACTGTGAGCTCAATTTGTAAGAATTTTCATCAGTTGAAGGCACCATCACACGATTTTCACTCTCTGATGAAAAGATCTCATACTTTAAAACCTTAATGTCACATTTGCCAGTTTTACATATTAAGTGTGTTTCCCTAAAACTGAAATTTGAGAAAATGCTGGAAACTCTGTTTTGGAAAAGTTGTTATATCCCCAAAATTGTTTTACACTTGGCTGAATTGAAAATGTTGCCGTAAAAATGTAATATGACAAAGGTCAATGGAAGCAGACTAAATCACGATGATGTGATTCAATCATCACTAAGACTGTAACCTTCCTCTTACAAAATGACAAATTACAAGTCAAACATCCATTACGTTCCGTTATATTTACATAATACCTTCCACATAGTTTTCAGTCATTTGAGGTTTCACTGGTCACTCTTTCAATTGTATCATCTTTCTGTGCCAACTTAAGAATTAGCGCCACCAACTGTTTATCTTGATGAGTCCACCTCAAACATCCAAGATGGGACGGGAAGGACCATGAAATTGCATTTTCCTTTTGTTTATTGTGTAATTTTCTTTTTTGCATCGCATTTGGATGGAAACTTGGCCAAAGAAATCTCTAGATTTCAGATTATGACACTTCTGTCATTCTTACTCCATATATGAAGCTGTGTGTGGTTAAAGCAACTCACCAGATATAGACTTGGGTATCTTTTGGGTATATTCCGAAAGGGTGCCAAAACTGATTCTTTACAAAAAGGCACAAAATGACAGTCGATGCGCCTTTTTTTTTTTAAGTATAATGGAAATTGAAATTGAACATTTTGTGTTCAGTGTACTTAACTTAAATATACAAATAACAATAAGTGCAATACTCTTTACTTAACAAAATCACATTAATAAAAAACTTACTGAACCAAAATAATTATAACTAGATAACAGCACCAGTACGTAATACAGCAAAATACTCCAGTCCAATCAATTGTCTCCCCTCCACCGGGGCCAAAGGTGACACTGCCGGCTAATGTTCTTGGCATGTGGTCATGCAACAAGTCAAACAGGAAGCATCCCTCTGCTTTCAAATGTATCCCACGCATCACCGGGGGGTGTCGTGATTCAGTCCGGTACCAACTGTGTACTGACCCTAATCAGACAAGTCAACCAAACCAATCTTAATGTGCTTGATGTTTACCTGCTGCAGGTCGATTTTCTAAATGAACATTTAAATGATCGTCATTACTCACAATGGTTGCCCCTTCACTATTCATCAGCAGCTTCTAATGTCCATCACCATGTTGCCCTGACAGCGGAGTTGTGTTTTTTTTTAGCACAAACAGCTGGACTGAAATGGAGTAGGGCAGAACCTTTGCATTTAGATAATCAAGATGGATGCTTTCAAATTTGGGGTCTGGCTAAAGGAGATGGAAATTCTACATGTGTCTGAGTAATGTGTTGATCGCTTTGCATGGTTTCAGCAGATTTATCAGCTGCAGATAGAATGCTGCCAATCTTAATTGGTAATTAGAGCTAAAACTGTGTCAAGAAAAGATTGTTCACATCATCACAACACCAGCAGCAGCCTGGACTGTTGACACAAGGCAGGTTTAGTCCATGGATTCATGCTTTTGACTCCAGATTGTGACTCCATCATATGCAGCCTCAGGAGAAATCCACATTCATAACAATAATAATAACTTGAATTTATTTAGGGTCTTTCAAGAGACCCAAGGACGCTTTACATGTGTCAGCCGGGACAAAAAGAGAAAAGAAAAGAAAAGAACTTGCACAAAACAGGACAGAAATAAACAGCACTGATGGCAGGGTGGCATGTTAACTGAGGCTAAGGGCCTTAGTGAACAGGTGGTGTTTGAGGAGTGTTTTGATGCTGTCCAGAGATGTAGCGTTGAGGATTTCAGAGAGGAGAGAGTTCCAGAGGGTGGGGGCTGCGACACAGAAGGCTCTGTCTCCAAAGGTTCGCAGTTTGGTGTTGGGGATAGAGAGCAAACCTGTGTTTGAGGACCGCAGCCTTCTGAGCAGAGTGTAGGGTTGGAGGATGTCAGTTAGAGATGGTGGGGCGTGGAGGGATTTATAGGTGAGAAGGAGGAGTTTGTAGTTGATGCAGGCCTTGATCGGGAGCCAGTGGAAGTTTCGAGAGTCAGGGTCAAACTAGGCTACGTTTTTCAGTCTTCAATTGTCCAGTGTTGGTGGGTCTGTATCACTGCAGCCTCAAAATTCTATTCTTGGCTGACAGGATATTATAGGTTTGTCACTTTAGTAACTGCAAGCAATAGCAATGGTTTAATAAAGATCTAGACAACGTTATTACAATGACAAACCTTTTGTTGTGTCTATTTACATAGACGACTACTGATGATGTTTCGGGTTCATACGACTAGTGATGATGTAACAGCTTCTTAAAGTGCTGTCCCAATTTGTAGGGGAAGATTTCAACCACTACCCCTTGTAACTTTGTTTCAAGGGGGAAGATAACCCTCGAAAACAAGGGGTAGTGAGAAGGGGTGAAATGGTGAAATAAGTGTAAAATAAACATTTATAATTTATTGTGGGATTTTTGACCGGCCAATGTTGTTGTTGTACATCATAATCCTGCATCAATGACGTCACTACCGGCACAGAGAAAACTGCTGAGTAGTGTTCGAAAGCATTTTTTTCTTTCTCGGATGAGCTCACTATATAATGCTTTATATAGAAGACCCAAGTGTAAGTGAATGAGTGACAGCTTCAGGACCAGCTGTTCTAATGGGAAACACATTGCATACTGGAGGTACTGCTGTTGGGATCCAGTGAGCAATGGGAACTGCTCCCAATCTTTGAATGTAGGACCTTACCCCATAGAGTATCACAGAACTGATCTAATAAAAAGAAGGAATGATAATATCCTAATGCCTGCCTCATCATACAATTCACCTAATTACATTTAAATAAACAGACACAGGTTGAGAGCAGACTCATGTCAGTGGTTTCGAGAAAAACACGTAAATATCCACAGGATAAATGTGTTTCCCGCTGAGAGGTTTTTTTTTCCATCACTGAGTTGTTAGATAGATTTTATCACAGCTTCAATCTGTTTTTTATAGACATGGGAGAAAAAATGTTTTGATGAGAAGGAAACGAGATCAGATAGAGGACGAAAACAACTGCCGGGTGCCACGGCAAAGGTAAGAACAGAGGTAGAGGTAGATGAGGATGTGAGGATGTGTTTGGGGAACAAAATGAAACTTAGAGGTAAACCGAGAGGTAAACTGATAAATATCTGAAAGAGCTGAGAGCTTGAGTGCAGAAATGTTAAATCCTGGTATGATGTGTTCAAATGGGATGGAGATGTTAAAACCAGTGGGAACGTATCTGTATTGCTTGACTGGGTGTGAAAATGTGTTTTTAAAGCAAATGACAGCATATCATCAAATGGAGGTCTGATCAAGTGAAGCAGAGTTAACATCCAGCTGACGAGAGGGCAAAACACAAAAAGAAATTGGATTTTACTCACATCAAAAACATCCTCGACGTAGACCTCGTCATTGACACGGTCTCGGAGGATGTCCTGGTTCTGCCGTATGAAGGTGATGTAGGTGTCGGCCAGATCCATCCCAGGTTTCTGAAGGGGAGAGGACAGAGAGAGGGCTGAGGACATGGGGAGGGTGGATGCTGAACACAGAAATGTGTCACACATGCAGAGCAGGCAGTTTGTTCAGCTTGATGTAAAAAAATGTGAACATGGCTGGCATTGATCATGCACATGTCTCTTCAGCCATGCTAGAACCACAGGGGAGAGTAGACAGCCTGTACATGATGACCTCTGCACACATTCAGAACACAAGTTGAGCCTTATATTTAGCAGCAGTGTTTTTCAGATAGGAAGATGGAACAGATGGCCAAACAATGTCAACAGGGAGAACATACAACAATAAACGTCCTGGCATCACCCTGAAAAATCTTCTGTAAGTCAGTGCAGACTCTAACTGAGGCTTTCTTTTGTCAGTGTTTCTGAGATGAGACATGTTTCCTAGCTTGACTTTCACACCTTTGTATCACTGACCACAGGAAGACCCACAATCAATGAATCAATGTTTTCCCTGATCATACTCTGAATTAGATGAATTGTTTGATGTGCATGGTCCACGTACTGTATTCTCGTCTGAGCAGTTTTTGTCATCACTCCTTAACACTGCAGTTGCCTCTTTGCACAATTCAATGCATATTAAGGCCAGAAAAGAAGAAGGAAGCTGGCAAAGCTGTATGAAGCCTTAACAATGATTGTTTGTTGCCATTACACAGCACATGTGCTGTTTTGCTCTGATCTATTCTTCTTCTAGTCATATATTAATATATATTATCTGATTATCGCTTTTGGAGGAGGAATACACAGTTCTTGAGGGTTGGGGGGTCCACAGAGCAATGAGTCAGTCATCAACAAGGAGCCCCACACAGTCAGTGGGCCCATAGTCCATATTTAAAATTACAAATCAGGTTTCAAACTGATTCAAAGATGTAACTGTGGAGGTTTGTGGGTGTGCATAGTTCACCCTCCTGCTGCAGAGGTCTGAGTCACTGTGGATTAAACAAATAAACACTTCAGAGCCTGACAACCACTAATGTGTCAAATCTTAATACTTTTATCTTACACAGTGACCAAGATCTCTGTCGGCGAACCATAACTGTGAGAGCGGTCGCACATTTTCTTTAAATGTAAACAAGTGGTCTTAGTTGCAACACACTTGCAACTTGTGTCTTGCAACAATCAATGTGTCACTTAATGATCTGGGGGAACAAATGAAATAAAGTTATTGCTTTTCTTCATGTGTTTAGATAAAACAAATGGACAAAAACGTACAAAAGATCAACACAGTCTGTATGAAAAGAAAACCTTCAGTCCAAATGTTTGTTGCTCTGGGACACAAACCCCAGATACGTCCCGGTCTCGGTGTGATCTTTGTGATGTCTATACATGTAGTTAATTGAGATTTGCACACAATGTTGATCAAATTCTGAAGAGAGTTTAACATGAGTTCAGGGTCTGGCTGCAACTCTATTCCCCTGCAATAGTTTTAATTTTCGTCAAGCCTTTTTTATGTGTTCCCACAATTGACTGAATTGTTGCCTTGAATTCTTAATTAATTCACTCAAATATGAAGTACTGTCACCTTCACGTTGACCTGTACCACACTCATTTAACAGTTTGATCCTGAGATGTGTGGAAATACTTCAGGTCCTTGACATTCTTTAAACATGCACATTCAGGAGATAATTTCATAACTTTTGTAATGTAATGTCATGTAAAGTAATTTTGAAAAGTAAATATAAACTCAGAAGCAACAGAACATTTGTACAACTCATTGGTTTTAAAATAATAAAGTAGAACTTTAATAGACAATATATCATAATTATATATAATTTAAAAAAGCAAGCTATGCATTTTCAAGTACATACAAATCTATTTATAGGGCTGCAATTAATATCTTTATCAATAATCATTAATTCTGTAAAAAGTAAACTGTTCAAAAAAAGTCTCAATTTCCTGTCCAAGGTGATGTCTTTACATAAAGTGAGTCAGAAACACAAACATATTCATTTCATGATGATATAAAAAAGAGAAAAGCATTAAATCCTCACACCTGACAAGCTGAAAGATGAGAATGATTTGTGTAAATGCTCCAGTGACTTTGATTTTCTGTCATTTCAAGCATACCTCAGTCTTACAAATCACAGCTACTCCTATGGGTAAAGATCAGAGGATCTAGTGAGTAGGTGGTAGATGGAACATTCTGTGTATCACTGTGTGTAAATAGCTAAATTGTGAGAACTGTAGTATAATTATTACAAAAATCAGTAATGCAATGCAATACCTTCTTTAAAATAATTTCCCCACAGACATCTACAAGGCTCTGTATGTGTCTGTCTGTGTTTTTGTCAGGGATATCACTGGCTTACACTACAACAACACAGGGAGCACACATTCTGCATCACCTGCTGCTTGCTGGGTGAAAAGAAGAACAAATAATCTACTTTCTCTGTGCTGCAAGTAACAAAAAGCTGCTGGAGCTGCTGCAACGGAGGAAACATTAACTGCTGTGGAAGCAGTGGCTTGTTCGGTGGGGAGAGGCCAGAGGCAAGACAAGTGGGTAAAGCCCTGTTCATTCACACTCCCTGTTGTCAGGGGAGATTACAACTGTAATGCTTATTGTAATTGCTTTGACATCTTTCACGCCTGTTTCCTCTGAGCCTGCATGTGTCGGCCCTGGGGGGCAGTGCCGCTGAGCATGGCCCGTCAGTTCCCTGTGGAAAAACACGGATATGAAGCCTCAAGAAACCTGGAGACCTTTTGGCTTTACTTAAAGGCAAAAGGCCGGTTACAAACTGGCTAGTGGAACTGTTTGCTTATCAAACTTGCTGGAGGAAAAAAGAAGTGGATCATGGCAGTAAACTCCATCACATCATAACATCATGAGCCTAAATTTGACTTTGGGATTTGACAAGCAAAGAGGCAGCACTGGGAAAGTGGAAAAGGACTCCACTGCATTATACTTCTTTAAAAATGAGCGGGTATACAATATATATTAATGCGTGTAAGCCAATTCAAAGATGCAAAGGACTCCTTTCCCATTGCCAGTAGACTTTGCCTCTGTTTTTTTCCCCTGGTGCATCATGTAGGACTTCACAAACGCAACGAAAAAGGGAGGCCATCTCTCACCTCGTTGTATTGCCAAATATTGGAGGGAATGCTGATTGTGTCATTTGCCAGCATTGTTACAGTCAGTCAATGCAGCTGGCATCCATGTGTGAATCCACACACCCACACACACAGTATAGCAGAAGGGAAATAAGTTGATTCATCAGTTAGTTGACTGGTGGAACTGTTTTGACAATGGATTAATGTTATTTTCAGTTATTCTATAGTCGCAACTTCTCCAATGTGAGGATTCTTTGAGACATCAAACATAAGATAGCGTAAAGTCTCTGACAGATATAAAACTGTGGATAAAAACAGTCCCAGCAGCTGCTTCACAGGCCTCTAACAGCGAGTGACAGACGGAGATCAGTCAGAGTTGCTGAGCTGTAATTTAGATGGACTGCTGGACGGGAAAACCTGCAGATACCAGAGGTTAAAGTGGGGTCACATGGCTGCAGGGGCATCGAGTGTGTATGTGTGCAGGAAATGAAGAGGTTGTGTGAGTGTTACATTCATCCAGAAAGAGAGGGAGGCCCAGGCCCAGTGATTGACAGGCCTGTCAGGTTCCTCATAATCCTCTGGAGTAAGAGGAGAGGTAAGAGTCTGGTAGATCATTGTGGAAACCTTGATGAGAATAAACCATGTGTGGGTTACTGGGTGTGTTACAATACTGTGTGTTGACACTTTCAGGTCATACCCTTGTAGATGTAGATACACTTAAAAAATTGTTTCTTCCAATCATTTCCAGAATGTTTTCCATTCAGAAAGGATGTTCAGAAAGTGGCCAATGTTGATCCCTCGACAAAATCTTCAAGCTCATTATTGAGTGTTTAGGTTCATCATTGAAGTGGTGTCCGTTGTAGGACCCTAAGAGTGCTAGAAGACCAGATAGTCAGAGCTGATGTTTACCATTATCACCTGCAGTCACATAAAGGCTACAGTCTTAGTTTTCACAGCTCAGTCAATGGATCGAGACAAATCTTACAAGAAAGAAGGGTCCAAATGCAGGGCCCAAATGCAACATCCTTTCTCCAGGTGACCCCTTATTTGTGCAGCCCAGAGAACACGCCATAAATCTGACTTGAAAAAAAGGGATATCCAACTCCACTGAATTTCCAAATGCCAGTGTCCTCATGGTGTGTGGCTGCTTTTCATGGTTTGCTTAAGGTGCCTTAGCTTCCCTTAATAAACTTAAGTGTTTTTAAAACTTTATTGAAATAGTTTGTGTTTGCCCCTTTCCTGTTTCAACATGAGAATGCTGCCGTGGACACAGACAGCTCCCTAAAGAAATGGTTTTTGTGAAAGAACCTGAACTTCATGAATTGGTCTTGTGGTTAAACGGGAGCACAGTCCCTGCAGCCTGGTACAAACATCTGGGGGAACGACTGTTAACAGAAGAATGGAGGCTGCCACAGCAGCACATGTGTAAGTGTGTGGTAGTGAGTGAATGTTTAAAATCAGTTTATCAAAAATTAAAAAAAACTCTGTGCAAGTTTGGACAGAGTCAAAGTGAGAGAAATATCTGTATTGCAAGTGTTAAGGTGTGTGTATGTGTTTATATGCGTGTGTGTGTGTAGCGTGTGTGTGTATAGCGTGTGTGTGTGTCTGAGCCACTGGCAACATATCACTACCCCTGTTGTCACTTGAAACATCAATTTCCCCCTTCCATCCCCTTAAGGCTAGTCTCAGTCATTTACCTCTCCTTTCTCTCGTCCTGACGAGGTGACAAAGCAGCCTGACAGTTCGGAGATGCCGGCACAGTTCCAGCCAGCCAGATTAAGACTTTAACACGAGAGGTAACAAAGAAGGACAGAAAGAAAAAAAACACATACAAGCAGCTCAGCACTCTTGTCACGCTCTGCTCTCTGCCTGTTTTGTCTCCTTCACTGTTTCTTCACTTGTAGCCAAACAACAGTAATCCCCTTCAC